GACGCTTTCCACTTCAAATTCTGACACCTAGTATTCTTTAAGAAAAATCTCAGGCACATGTATAATTATAAACCTTCGATCATTGCTGCTGCTCGTATATCTGCATGTATGCCTCAGAGAGGGCAACCATCTGGGGTAATGTTTCTGACACGTGAAGATCTTGCATCTCATACCTGGTGAGTAATGAGGCAATAGATTAATTAAAAGTCTCGGATAAGATCGAATTTACAGCGAAAGGGAATCTAAATTATTACCACAACTCTTCTGACTTCCGTTGCACGAAAACTCTATAGGATCCTTCACCTGGCTTACCGTCATGAACTACATTCGCAATTAAGTCGTACTTTGACCGCAGCTTTTCATTCTCATCGCGTGGTGTGGGAAGAGGGATGTAATCCTTCAGTTCGAGATTCTTCACAGGGAAATTAACTAAGACAAAGAAAAAGGATAACTAATCCAACAATGGCTACTCAAGAATTCACTACAACTGTGATAGCAAAATATAAGCACTCACCAAGGGTTGGATTTTTTTCAACAAAAAAGTTGTTCTTGGTAAACCGACGCATGTGGAGAATAACATACTGAGGCAATTTCGTCACACGATATCTCATTCTTGCTATGCTAGGGCGAACAACTTCAGTGACGGTCTCCCCATCGAATTTTTTCAGAATGTTAAAAAGAGGAACCTAGACATATTCATTGTGTTGGCTAATTAGTCAATTTTCCTGATTTAAGTTTATCAGCCGTCGGGAGAAGCATACATCAATATAAAGAGTTACATAACTCAAGAAGAAGATCAAATTAACGAGCCAAGCAAAGGATCACACAAAAAGATATTCCCCTAGGGTCCCTATTATTTAAGAGAAAAGAAATATAAGCAAGTATGCAAAGAAGTACAAATCTACGGTGTAAAGAATATAACCAAATGCAACAAACAGCATAGTGACAAGCTTATCCCTAATATGAAAAATTTAAATAGCAGAGAATTGTGAACAAATTACATTTCATAAAATGCAGAAGGAAAATCAGCTACACGCAAATAAAAAAATAAGATTTAATATAATCTAACCTGGGGAATAATGTTTTTTTCTAAGATATCCTTAAACAGTGGAGGCGGTGGCAAATCCAACCCAAGCATTATGAAAGGCATTTTGCTCGTTTCCGAGTTTACATTATCCCCACTATCATCTCCATTCTCATTGTTCTGATTGTCCCCATTCTCTTTTCTATCAGCAAGCTTCTTGCTGTGGATTTCTTTCACGACCTCCAGTTCACCCTATAACATATTTATTGATAAAACTATAGGAGGGGAGTAAATAAATATTTCGCAGAAACAATACAAGTCTATAAAATGTGTGCTTGGAGAAAGAACCTGAAAGCACTGATGAATGATGCTGCTACCCTTTTTTCCGCTCTTAAGATCTCCATGCAGTGTATTAAGAAGCCATGACATGAATTCAACTGGATCTGATTGTGCACCTATTCGGAAACGTTTTTTACTAGCTTTCATAACCGCCTGGAGAAATTCATGCGGACTCACCTGCAAAATGCTCGATATCAAAATATGAAAGTTGGGAGCCAAAACAAGGCACATAAAGTAAGTGCAGCATTTTAACCTGTCCCTTAAAGTTCCTTGCATGCCAGATCTTTCGTGTGAGCTCTCCAAATCGAAGAACAAGTTGAGATTTGCAGTGGGCATAATTCTCGGGAATTAAAAAGAAGTTCCTCAATGGAGTAACACGCATCAAAGATTGAATGGTAACATTTACAAAATCAGTCTCTTTGATGTTATTTAACCCTACCTACATAAAACAAATAAAAGACTAAAATAATGAATATGATTTAGCACGATTAATTTTATGGAGAACATACAGATTCTAACTAACTGAATACAAAGAAAACTCAATGAAATACCATTCCAGGAAGATAATCAGATCCATCAAGTGCCCTGGACCACTGCCGATTCTGGTCAATTTGTGTAACTTGGTCTCTTGTAAACCTGTAATATACGTGGAAACTACTAAATAAACCCAGAAAAATGTAACAAAAAATAAAGAGGAGAAAACTTGTCACGAGACGAAATGGACGACAAGACATTTACTAAAAGAAGTGCATACAGAAAAAAGTATACAATTCTTGGCCAATTGGGAAGTCAGGCTTCACAGGAATACAAGCATAGGTTGCATGAAAAAATATAATAATAAAAAAAAAAGTTGAAAATGAATAAAGCATCAAACATGCCTTGGATTGAGCACATGCCGTATGTCATCCAGGGATGGGTCAATAACTTCATATCCATCTGGAAGACAGTAAACTTTCTCTGTTCGAAGATTAATGTAAACATGGTGGCCAGCTTCAAGACTGTGTGTGTATGCATGAGACTTCTGTCCTCTCCCTTGGTAGTACTTACCACAAACCAAACATGCATAGACATTCAAGTTTGAAAGAGATACCGAGCAAAATTTTTCAAAGTCAAAATCTAATACCTGACAAGTGACAAGAGAAAACAATCTAGGATTCAGATTACAACCAAAAAGAAAAATGACAAAAGAAAAGA